AAAAAAATTACAAAAAAAAAAAAAAAAAGGAACAAAAGCCTGAATTCCAATAGATGTACTGCTGGCAACTCAATATGGACAAGTTTGAGAATTAACAACTCCAGTGGGGTAGGCAGTCTGGCAGAAACCCCTACACATATGTGGTAATCATCATCAAGAACGTCACCAGATTCCTGCAATGGAGATAGGAGAAAAATCCCCTGGGTTTCAACAAAAGTGGTGAAAGACAGCCATGTTGAATAAGGCACAGCAATCTGTTCTTAACAAGGTCTGCCCTCAAGAGCAACTATCTTACCAAAACCTAACCAATTAGAGTTTTTACCAGAAACTACCTACCATGGGGGAAGGGAAATGCCCATCTCTAATCCTTTCTAGTCTCTTTTGTGTCACCTAAGAGATGGGGGGGGGGGGAGACTGGGAAGCACTCCGTGGAAGTCATAGTCCAGTGGCCCAGGCTCACTCAGAATGAGACCTAATCCTAGCACTATGTAATGCTCCTCTCCCTACACCTTACAACCACATCTACAGGGCTCCTGAATAACAGATTACAAATGAAACAACTAAACACCCAGACCTTATTTAAGAAGAGGTCTCAAGGAAAACCGAAGACAAAGGAAGCCAAAACAAGAACACTGGAGGAAATTTTATCCTCTGACACCTACAGCTATACCAAATAGTACAAGGGCCTAACCTATAGCCAGACAGGTATAAAACCTCACACTAAAGGATCATTTACCTTGGTTCCTTTCACCCTATATGTCATGTTCAACATAAAATTACAAGGCATACCCACCTTCCAAAACATGTGGTAAGAGGACTCAAATGTCTCACAAACTTTTTAAAAACAGTGTTAAAAACACATTCTTCGATGATACCATGTATTATAAACTATACACAATAACTGATATGYATATGCAGTCATTAAAAATGCCCAAACATATTCTTTTATTTCATGATTAAGTATTAGGACTTTTTTCCTATTAAAGTCAGGTTAAACAAGAATATTCAACTATTGCTAACACTATTTGATGTCATAGTGCAGGTCCCAGATAATGAAGGAGAAAAGGCTTAAATATCAGAAACAACTAAAACAATCACTATCTGGAAATATTCAGAGGACAAATTTAATCAATTAAAGTACTATTAAACTCATTTAAGTGTTTTAATGAGTCTGGATAAAAAAAAATAGCATTTAGAAATTGTGAGCTTCCTACAAACTAGTAATTAGGAAAAGTAACAGAAAAACAGAAATTCAGAATAAAAATCTATAAAACATCTACAATAAATCTAACAAGAAATGTGCAAACTAATATGATGAAATCTTAATCTTTTTTTTTTTTTTTTTTTTTTTT